AAAAAAAAATTACGGAATCCATAAAGGATATAAATCAAGCATAAACACTGTGGAAAGGAAATGCATTCATATTTTGTAAAAAGGCAGTCACATACACTGCAAAAACCTTAGCTACGCTCTTGAAAAATTCAAGGCATACTCACAGGGATTCTCCACAACTGGAGATGAAACAAAGCAGTTTGAAGTACAAATGCTACGGACAAAAATGGTGAGGTCAAGCTCATAAAACCAGAGATACGCTGCAACCCCTAGAGGACGACCTGAAAATGAAGGGAAACCGAAAAGAGCTTATGAGCGAGGTCGAAGACATCGACAAAGAGACCCGATTCAGCGAAAGAATTGCATTAAAAGCGAGGACTTCTTTGGTACGTCTAAACGCCTTTTCGCATTTTTCTGCCCACGGAAGTTTTCTTGATAATGCGTCTCCTGGGCTCGCAATAGGCCACTCGGCTACAAATGATCCATAATATTTCACCACGCCTAGAAATGAGCGAACAATTACTGTTTTTCGGTGCTGGCATTTAGCGGATTACCTCAATCTTCTTTGGATTCGAGTGGCGCCCATTCTTGTCTATGATGCAACCATGATAACAAATCTCTGGCATCAAAAAGTGACATTTTCTCAGTTGAACGTGAAAGCCGTACTCCTTTATTCTTTTGAGCAATGCATCCACATTTCTGCGATGTTTCTCATATAGCTTTGCGGTAACGATGATAGCATCAGGGCATGTGGCTATGCCCTCCAATCCACTTATAATCCTTGATCTGCTGATAAATACCTCGTGCCGATTTGATTCGTAAGGTAGGCGATTGTTACGATACTCTTGTATTTATTGTCAGCATCTCCTTTGACGTTCGTCCTCCACCAGCAGATATGCTTCTGCCAGATCAGTGGTATTTGTTCTTTAACTTCTTGTAGGCCGACAACTGGATGCACCACTCTAATCCTAGTTTCGTGCCTTCGGTGACGTAGCATGTTCCGTTTCCTTGGATCTTCTTTCCTGTAACACAATCTCTAACGACGATGTCGGGGAAAAATTTACAATCGATCTCCATCGGTGTTCCGCCTGCTGTTTTCCCAAGGATGATGCAAGGTTCCAATGTAGGTAATCCAATTTTCTTCCAGGTTCGGCGTGATATCAAAGTGTCAGCGCCAATCCAGCTGCAAGCGCAAAGTACATTCATTGATAATGACGTCGAGATAAGTCCTTGCATTTTCGGCGTCAAACGTGACAGCGTTTTTGCACTGTCTCCTGCGACCATAGGGCTGGGTCCCTACTCTGCGTCGCTTCTTCTGATCAGCGGAGGTGGGCATTTGTTTTCAAATGCAGACCTCAGCTAAAGCTTTTCATCTTTTTCTTCCACAAGCATGGATTTCGTGTGTTCCTTCCAAATCCGTGTTGTTTCCATTTCAACGCGATGAAATTCTCATATTCATTAACCAGATCTTGATTGTTAGTGGAGTGCCATCAGCATGAATGGTACCGCCTTGACGCGGCTATGGGTGGCGAATATTCGCTTCATTTCGTCGTGCTGCATCTTCATTTGCTTGACCATGATAGTCAAGATCCTCTCCAGTTGGGAATCATGTCTACACCGT